CAAGAATATCTCAATAACCTGACAAGGTAGTAAAAATGCACATGCATAGAGGGGGAAGAATGATGACAAATGAAAGATCCACAGGTTATAAAGAAAGAATTCGGTGGTCGTAAATTGTCTACTACAGGAACAACACTGCATATGGTGGCTCCAAATGAAATGAATGTACCAAGAGAATCATTAAGTTGGCAGATAAGCGAAACCCTGGTAGTTCAGTTGAATTAATCCATGCATACAGATGTTGTTATTGAACAAAGTTCGCGTTGTAATGGAACTAGGGAGTAGTTTCCACTGTCGAGGCTGAAACTTCCATAGTAAAGTTGCTACCTGATTATATCGAAATATCCTGCAACATTTTTTACTTTATGCTGTTTCTCCTTGAGGGCGGATCGAGCATAGTCAGAGGCAATTTATAGTAGATTGTCAATTTCGGTTACGTTCGCTTCCAAGTCTCTGATCGATACCATTAAAAAAGAACAGTCGTTTTAGACCAGACTTTGATCAATGTGATATGGAACCACAATCACTGCAGATTCCATTGTTAACTATTTGCTAATCGCTGTATCCAGGATTTTGAGAACTAACCGTTGTCGTTAGGTTCACTAAAGTGAATTTCATTAACGATGTATTGCTGTGTCGCCTATGAAAGTTTTTCGAACATTAAAAGTATACCTAATTCTCTGAGAAGGAGGATGAGGACACAATGTAGTTGCCTGAGCTGCTATTCAAAACTGAAACACTGTACTGGGAATTGCTGAATGTTAAACCAGTTTTCGTTTTTAAGCAATAGGCAAAAATCTTGATTATACTGATGTTCAACTTGTTGTAACTATGGATGACTGTGACAAAACATCTTCCTTCGTATACCTCTGGCGTTCTCGGTCGTAACTGCGACGATGTTTTCTATCAATTTCAATGATATTACGAATCAAGCATTGGTGAACTTAACTAACATGAGAACATGAGAACTTGTCCTCCTTAATTTGAACAGTAAATGGCATAACGGATATCAAATAGCCTTCTTTAAGGAATAACATGAACAAGTCAGCAGATCATCTCCCTTGAAAGTAGCTGCAATAAGCACAAACAAAAAAATAATGTTCGCTTCTCGCTTCATTCATGGCTGGTCAAAAGCAATCCAAAGCTTGACAGGAAACTTCATTCTCTGTGAAAGTGTATCATCACCTCGACCCAATCAAGGTTGGTTCATCGACTATAGTAAGCAGGTATGCAGCCTGAACAGTCAGTCTAATAACATTAGCTAAGACGCTGAAAGTGAGGTGTCTGTACGGCAATAAACTACGTTTCCGATTGAGGCAAAATTGTTCACAAGCCAGAAGTAAGAAAATGACTGACATGGCGAGGAAAAAAGCCTGCATTAGAGTGAGTCTCCATACCTCGTCAGTGTAAACACGGAAACCCAAATTCAGGTAGTGAAAAATTGATAGCCAGGGTATGGCATGGCAGGCG